TTACTTTTCTACATGGCTGTATGTTTTCAGGATAATATAATTTAATCAGCTTTCATATTATTTGGAGAGACATCACAGTTTTTTGGGGGGTATTGGCCTAATCATCCTTTTTCACTATGAGGCTCTGCCAAAAAAAAAAAATCATATGAGCTATTTCTACTAGAAGATGTTTGTGTGATTTTTGTTTAACTGAAATATATTGTAAAATTTTTTTGTAGTTACTATTTTATGCACAGCATTATCGGATTAAAATTAGTAGTCATGAAACAAGTAACCTGTGTTATAAAATGCTGTAGGAAAAATGTATAAAACCTCTCCCATCAGGAACACAGAAGGGATTAAGGACCATCATCACTTCATGCGTATGAGATGCTAACATGTTTAGCCATTATTGTCTTGTATTTGTTCAATATCCAATCAGCTTGTGCAACATTTTTCACTAAAGGTATGAATAACAATGATAAATGAGTGGAAAATCCAATGTCCTGCCTGAGATAAAGCTTTGTTGTTTAGCCACGCTAATGCTCTGAATATAAGGCACTGACCCACATCTGCTCTTATGCAGGTTACATGAAGCCCCAGATGCAGGCCCAGCTGTTGCTAGGACATGTATTATCTCACCCAGTGACCCCAGCGTTAATGTTAAAAGCAAGGCAGCTCATCAGCATAGGCTAATCCGGACAAAAGCATTTGGTTTCCTACTAAAAAATAGAAAAGTAGTAGCCTAACAACATTTTTATTATTTCTTAGACACTGTCTGCGTCAGGGTAATGAATATTCAGCAGCTAACTTTATCCCTGTTTTTTATTTTGTTTTATCAAGCTTCATATTTAGCAGCAACTACTTTCTCTTACCACAGTACAATATGTGTGTTGGAATAATGACTCCTGAGTCATTGTTATTAATTCAGTGTTCGATCTGCGTGGTGCATGCAAATGAAGCAGTGGGAAGTGAGACCTATAGGCTGCCTGGAGAGTTAGTCTATGTAATGAATATAATTACACAGCTCTACTGGAACATTGTCATTTTTTTCCAGTTAAGTTGTTATTTTTGACTGTATTTGATTTCTAAGCTTCACTTCTGCAGCCAAATGTAAAAGTCCCCGAGTATGTCTTGTTTTAATTAATCCCCTGTTTGTAGGCAGGTTATACGAACATCAGCATTTTGCCAAAGGATAATATTGCATTGTTAATAATCCGAATTTTGGGAAAACACAAAAAAGGGAATAAAACAAAAAGAAAGAGAGAAGGAGCAAAGTATGTTGGAGGTTCTGAATTTTAAAAAGAATGTTGATAATGATTAAGGTATTGATCCTTCTAACCCCACCTGTTAAAAAAGGAGCTGAGGAAAGCCGCCTCCACACTGTCGTTAGTCATCATCAGCTCCTTGCAGCCCACTGCAGTACACACTGCCACCCATGATTTAGCTCTCCATCCAGTTATGAGGGGGTGTTAAGTGTTTATTATGCTGCAACGGCCCCAGTCGCAATGAGAAAGCAGAATGTTGCCTGATCGATACCTCTCACAGGATGCCGGGTTAATTTATTTTTTAAGGATCTGCTTGCGTCTCTAAGGGCTTCCTTGCTGTAAGTCGAAATGCAAGTCATTTCCTGAAGATGCACAGATTGACATTTTGTCACTGACACCGCTGTTTAGGGACTTAGTGCTGACACTCTGACATAAAACTGCAGGCATCACCTTTTGTGTGCTTTACGTTCTGCTTTTGTTTTTGTAATTCGCAGCCTAGTTTGCTCTATTCTCAACAAGGCACAAGACGCTGACAGCTCTTACTGCTGTGCTTGCTGATTGATTGTGTGGCTAACGTGTTTATAGATAATTCAGTTGGCAACTCTCCATACAGTTTGAGTCTGCAGGTTCTGTTTGATGGTGCTGCTCAACCATTCATTTAACCCATTGCAGTACATACACAAAAGTTCTTTCTACCAGTAATGCAGCTGATAATTTACCTAGAGACTGGATGCTTTTCAACATGACAAGCTGATAGAAAAGGCAAAAAAATCTTGATTTTTTTTTTTATCTGTAAATATATGATACTTACATGCTACTAGATAGTACTAGCACAATATGCAATAGTACAATATGGTAGTTGTTGCTGCAGAAAGACTGTTGAAAAGGAGCTGTCTCCAGCACCTGAACAATGTTTAAAAAGGAAGCTAAAATAGAGTTGAATTCTGCCAAAAACATTTTTAAAGTAAAGAGACTTGTCTGTGATGCATTTAGGTTGTGAGAGAGGGAAAGGGAACATAATTTAAGCTAAGAACAGGAAGGCTGAACAAATGCTGCAAAGTCACCCATTTTACCTTATTAAATGTTCAACATCTGACTGTAATGAAACAAACTATGTAAAAGGTGGCAATGTCTTCATTCCTTTGAGCATATATAGGGACAGAAGCTTTTTCTGGATTTAGGGAGAAATGGAAATCTGCCTAAACAAACCTTTGATTGGCGAATCTCTAGCTTTTTCTGTATTTAACACAGTCTCAGTTTCACCACTTTATTTTAGTGAAACCTCTACCTTTATTGCTATTAAACATGGACTTTTAGAAAACCACAGAATTTGTAATGATAAACATACTTGCACAAATACCTCTACACCTCTGCGTTTGAGATTTTAATGTTTGAACACAAAACAATAGCTTTACATCCATTAAGATGTGCATTCTGCCCTAAATATCTTTAGTTACAAAACAGCTGCAGTTCTGACATGTTCTGCTCTCTTGTCATAAAACCGTTAAGCCAAATAAAATACAAAATTTGCAAAATAATTTTTGAATTAGTAGCATCCTGATGAGTGTATTTGACACCAAACTGACACATAAAGAGATCATTTACCAATTCCCAAGTATTTTTACATTAATCAAATGGTTTTAATGATAATTTTCAACTTAATTATGAAAATATGAAGCAGGGTGGAGTACATTGTTGTACATTGTCACAGTGATCCTTTTGGTTAGCATTCATCTGTATTGATTTTCACTGAGGCTCATCAATCAAAACATTTATAATGGATGCTGTCTGAGAGCACCTATCTCCCTTCAGGGAATCATCACCTCAAGCACAGGTCAAGCAGATCTGTTGTCAGTTAGATGAATTGTTGTTTTTCTCTCTATTCGTCGCACTTTACAAACATAGAGAGAGCAAAAAGAGACAAGCGAACGAAGGTAAAGGTGAGCAGAGATAGTAAGAATACCAAAGTAGTTTAATGTCAGCACAGAAGATTCAGTGCTATTAAAATATTCAAAGCCATTGTCGATCACCTTTCGCCCCACTTGCTTGTTTAAGAAAAGAGTGTATTGAAATCAATAGCCATACCAGTACTGGCACTCAGTGTCAAGCATCATCTAATATTTATATAAATGAGGCTTCAGCGTCAGATTTAGCCTGCAGTTTCGTGTTGAAGGGCCTGTAATGGACTCAAACGGCGCAGAAATTCTTGACAGGATGTGAGGATGAAATAAATCTATGTCCCTGTCATGATGGCTAGAGCAGGCATTTGCATTCACATGATCTGACAGGTTATGATTAACTGCCATGTTGAGTCTTAAAGTGGAACACCTTTGCTACCATAAATATGAAATGGATCATAAATTCACACATGGCAGCTTTGAACCATTATCGTTCCCTAAAAACACGACTCAAGGCAAAAAATCTGCAGTGGGAGGTGGTTTTGCTACTTTAGCACCTCATTCTGACAATAAATGTGTTTATGGGAGTTAATCAATGTTTTACATGACACAACATTGCCATATGACTTTAGGGAAACTGCATGGCATGTTTGACAAGAAGATTTACACTTTTTTAACCTGTTTTAATAACTTGTGCAAGAGTAATCATTAATGCAGCTTGCTTAGCTGAGGTTATTTTATATGGTGTTTAGATTCCAGTGAAGCTTGAAAGAGTTATGTGTGTGTAGATAAATGCTGATAGAACCAGAGTAAAATGAACATATTTCCAGTGTAACACCAAACATATACCTTAAACATAGCCCCTCTCCTCAATAAGGACATATTAGTAGTTTTACTGGATATCAGGCAAGAGGGGAAGAGCATGTAGTTGGTTGTATGTCTATACTGTAGCCTATTTTTTGCCCCATTAGTCCTATACATTACTTTTATATTATCACTAAGGCGTTTGCCTAAAATAAAATTTTTCAAATTAAATATTATTTCTGGAACTTCATTTTACAGACAGCACTGTCAAAAAAAATATACATTAAAATTTGTATTCAAGTTCATCAACATATGTTCTGTGTCATTATGATGGGAACCAAATTATTAAGATACAGTTATTTTAAATTACTGACAAATTTCTTTCCTGTTGAACATTCAGACACATAATTGCCTCAGGGCAATTAAATCCTCATCTCTTCACTTCAGGCTAAGCTTAGCTCTAGGCTTTGTTTCACCTCTAACATGTTCCACCAAGCTAAAACAAACTAAAACCTCCTTGACCCTCATATGACCCTTTTAGACTTCCAATAGTATTTTCTTTAAAAGACACAAGAATATGTGTGGTAAGTTTAAGCTTTTTTAACAAAAAAAAGAAAAGAAAATTAGGTGATGTCAAAATGAATTGCAAAAACCATCTGACGGATACACATATTATATTTCAAAATGTGTAGTATTAAATGTTAAGACTATCCTAATTTACTTCCAAATTCTTTTCCCCCCACATTCAGACCTGATTGCCTGTGGGACCATTAATCCTTATCACTCCTCATTAGGCTGATCTTAGCTCCAGGCTTTGTATCACCTCTAACATGTTCCAGCAGTTTAAACCAAATCAAACCATTCTTCACCCTGACCTGATTCTTTTGGATCCTTTAAACGCATATTCATTGGGAATGCATGATTACCATCTATGCTAAGAATTTTTCTTTTGTTCATAACTTTGAGAAGTTTGTCAAAGTACTTTTTTTGAAACTGGGGAGGGGTGTAATGATTATCAGTGATTTCTTATAACACATTTATTCTCGCCGACTTAGAATTCATAAACATCTATTTTTTTTATTTATCTCAAAATATCACAGAATGATGCAAAATTATCGTTTTCACAGAAAAGCATTTGCAATTTTGGTATACCTACGCTGCCCCTGCCGTAGGAATCTGCAGAACACGGTGAACAGAATGTAAGATGCAGTCACAGTAGGAGAATATGCACACTAGAGAGCAGTGTGTTACCTCTTTCTACAGTTATTGTGATCAACCCCCCACCTCCCACCACACCCACCTACCCATCAAAACCCCAACCCCATTTCACGCAGCACACTGTTCATTTTACAGGAGCCAGGAAATGCCACATCTCTTAGTGCGCTAATTTACACAGTGAAGACCAGAGGAAGGATTTACACACACATACACACCTCTACATGGCCTTGTATTCAACAAACATTTTATAACACATGAAAACACAGTGGTAAACACCGCATGTGCAAATATTGCTTGAAGCTGGTGGAAATTTCATCAGGAGTTTGGACACTAGTTGAAATACATTTTAACTACATGTGCATGATGTCAATGATTGATGGATTTATGTGTTTATAAGAGAAAAATGTGGAAACTCTATTCTATGACAGCCAAAAATTAATGAGAGTTGTTCTGCCTTTTTTTTACTTCAATGCAATACATTTAGTGACGTAATGTAATTACAGCATGCTTACAAAAATGAAATTGATTATTGTAAATATGTTCAAAATGAGGGGATGAGAAAAAACTATGCTGATAACAAGTCAACAAAATGAATGGCAAACCAGTAAATGTGGCTGAAGCAGTTTGAGTTGGTGATGAGATGCAGATTTTTGTTTGCCTTATTCATTTTTTACTTTTTTTTCCCAGTATTTCATCATTTCTTTTCGGTTTGATACAGTGCAGAATCATGGCTCTCTGGTCCATGAGCAAAAAGACTGCGTCTATTGTTCCTCCTCCTCTGTGACAGGCTTCTCACATACAAATGAGTTTACTGTGAATAGTGTTTCATTTATTTAAACATTTTTTGTACTTTACAAAAGAAATAGATTATCATTTTTTCACTTTAGTCCACACTTGCGCTTCTTTTTTCATATTTTACACAAACTTTTATTTTTACATTTTTTTTTTATTAAACATTTTTTTCATATTTTAAATGCTCCTCAAATAGTGTATGTACCATAATACAAATGGTTTACTGTTTTTCTTTTTCTTATTTTATGTCTTTTTGTTCGTCCCAGTTTGTCTTTAAACTTTTTTTTTTAATGTTCTGAAATAGAAAGAGACATTAAAGCTCAAACATTCTTTCATGAGAGAAAAGCCCCCAGTGCACAAAACATGTTCCTCTCTGGGGGGTTTTAGGGCATCAACAAGTCCCATTGACAGGTGCCTAATATGCCTTTTGATTTCAAAACAGCTGTATCGGTAAATCCACCATAGTCCGGTAGGTACATCCTACTCCCTTCGCATCACAGTGAAAAGCTGTGTAAAAAGTGTCCGAGATGAAATTATTCCCTTTTGTTTTACAGCATCTCCCTCTCTTAGGTATCCTAAAAGGGATTTAGTGTAAATCCATATAATCACAGGTAAAGATGTAGTGAAAAAAGCAAAGTCACACCTCACACTCTCGTGAAGGTTGTTGTTGGCAGGTGCAAGAGCCATACTCGTTAATGATTACCAAAGCTCCCTCAATGTGGTTAGGTTTATAGTCAACATAGTACTCTGGTGTAGAAATTGCAGCCATCTGCTGCATGCTTTGCTTTTGCTTCTGCTTACGGCGCTGGCTGCTGAAGCACTGTCTCAGTTGCCTTATTCCAGCTGGAAAGCACTTCCATGCCACATATAACATGAGAACTAAGATAAGAAAAGAAAAGATGAGTGCCATAGTACCAGTCACTACCTTGTGGATCTGCATGGTGCTGTCCAGGTCATCTTGGCCCACTGTAACAGTATAAGAACTTGTGATCACCTCACTACCCTCACCCTCATAGGGATTTGGGGTAAAAAGGCCTAGAAACACAGAACCACCCTTGGCCAGATCTCTTGTTGAGGCATACAGGCCCGCTGTGGTTGCTTCTGCTGGTGAATCCTCACATAGCTGAAAAGCATAGACTGCATCCAAAACATCCTCACCCTGTGCCGTGTCAGGGCTTGAACACAGCAGGGAGCTGTCACGCTGGCCTCTGAAAGCACTCAGCCAAGAGGCCAAGGCACAGACATTGCGGCTGCATTCCCAGTCATTGCCTGCCAGGGTAATGCTGTCCAGAGACGACCATGAATCCAGGATGCGCTGGTCCAAATAAGTCAGACGATTCGAGTCAAGCATCAGGACTTTGAGGTTGGGAGTACTCTCAAAAACATGGGGCTCAATGTACTCAATTTCATTGGCTGAAAGGTCAATCTTCTCTAAATATTGCCAGGTCCACTCCAGTGTGTTGACAACAATTGTGGCATGATTGTTGTGCATGTAGAGGGTGCGTAAAGAGATAAGACGAGGGAAGTGGGCTAGGTTGACTTTGACCAGCTCATTGTGCTCAAGATGCAACTCAGTCAATTTGAATAGGCCAGCAAAGGAATTCCTAGCCAAAACCTGCAGTTGGTTGTATCCCAAATCCAGAAACTGCATGCTCCTGCAATCTTGAAAAATACGCACTGGCACAAATTTAAGATTGTTGTAACGTAAATGCAAATTGGTAAGCTTTCTAAGGCCATGGAACAGGTCAGGCTCGAGGGCCTGTAGCCTGTTGTATGAGAGATCCAAAATGCGAAGGTTTGGGAGGGGCCTGAAGGTACCATTTGGCAGACTTTCAATCCGATTACTGCTCAGGTCCAACTCCTTGACCCGTCTCAGCTTCTCAAATGCATCCTCCTCTACTATGTCAATGTTGTTATGATCTAAATAGAGCCAGGTTAACTGTGACAGACCAGCTAGCTGGCCTTCACGCAGCTCGGTCAAGTTGTTCTCTCTCATGGACAGGCCCATAGCACTGCTCAAATTGCGGGGGATGTCTGTCAGGTTGAGCCCCTCGCAATACAGCAGCTTGCTGTCGCAGCGGCACAGCTTTGGACAAACTGCCTCTGCTAAAGGAACAGTTCTCAAAAAAATACCCAATGAATACAGTATCAACCCAGGGGGTTTCTTCAGTGGCCACTTTAAGTACAGTCCAATTAGGAGGAAATCCATTAGCATAAATATCCAGGAATGTCGGGGAGAAAATGTCCATTGAACCACTCTGGATATTGTTTTGCTCCTTTCAGATATCTTTTTTTTTTTTTTACATATTATGTAATCAAACAAATGATTTGATGCAGTCTTTGTATTTTATTTGCAGAGATGGATATATCAATCTCATTCAGTCCAATGAGAGGTATTTTTTCCCAAAAGGAAATAATTAGGAGCAACTCTCTTTGCCTATGAGAGATATTCGGCAGTGGGTGGAGAGGAGAGGGGATGAAAGATGAAGCTGTCCTTTGCAGTAGCTCTTATTCAAAAATATTCCTACTCACCCCTATCAAAAAGCTGACAATCTCCATTCAGCATCTTGCTTTGTGCCCCAACACTAATTATGTACGAATCTGAAAAAGACCCCACTGTGGCACACATTCTCCCCCCCCCCCCGCCTTTTCTCTTTTCAGTGGAAACCAGATCCTTGGCAGGCTTACAATGTCTTAGTTCTCTTCAAGTGAAAGAGCCAGAAAGAGGAAGAATCCAAGTAGCTTTCAGCGAGATGGTAGGAAGTGCAAGTTCCCCTGTCTGCATGCATGAGCTCTGTCTCTTTGCTCCTCTGCAGTCTTCTGCTGCAAGGATCAGAGGGAAGAAGAGACAACCAAAGCAACAAGAAAAAACGATGAGGAATAATTTCTGAGCATCAGTCTTTTCTCCTCCTCTCTGATTAAGTTTAAGCAGATCTCTCAAAATGTATGGTTGTCCGTCTCAGAAATCCCTTACTTTGAAGGTTTAAATCCATTTAAGATGTTAATCATGTCTCCTGTGACAAAAGCATGAGAAAAAAAAAAACATTGGAGAATCCTTCTCAGTTTTCTTGTGTAACAGAATTCCTTGTCATTCCAGTGGCTGGTATCGGTTTATAGCCGACTTACATCCCCTGTGGTTAGCAGGTTTTGCTTACTCCATTCATCTCCGAATGTTTTGTCAGCCCAGTGGAAGAGGCTGCTGGAGGCTGGAGCTGGTCCGGCAGGCAGGGGCGTTAAATGTGGGAAGCGAAGGAGCAAGCAATCCCTTGCAGCAGACTAGTACACTGACAGCGCATGCAGAAGCACCTTCTGTTCACTGAGTGTCGTAAGCCACTCACAATTCAGTTCTCGCTCTCTTTCTCTCACTCACTCGCTCCCTTTCCCTTGATCGCTTACTCACTTGCTCATGCTGCTCCCCTCCTCTATTTCCCCTCCTCCCTCTCACATCCTACATTTTTGCTTTATTTTTTCTTAGCAGCGTTTTTATATAGGGGCTCTATTATTTACTTATTCAGATGGGGATTGGCTTAAACCAGGAGCTTAAATGAACCTCCAGCTTTAACTAACCTTCCATCTCTTGCTACCTGTTAGAAATTGCATCTCATTTGACCGTGCAAGTGCTTGATATCAGAGTTCCTTTTATTAAGCCAAAACATTTGAATCAAACAAACATATGCATACATGTCGTGTATATTAAAGCAAAGTATGATTAATAAACGTGTATATTGTTACATATACAATGGTTGGCTATGCTGTGTGAAAACCATTTCATTTAAACATTAGTACAACTGTGATGCATTTACATATAATGAATTTATTATATTGCATAAATCGCTATGTTCTAATCAGTCTTACTCTATTGATATTCATAATTTATCCTCCCCAACAATAGATGCTCAAGTCAAGACTAGAGTATGACATTTTTCATTTAATAAAACTGTCCTGTAGCCAGGCATTCAGTGTCATTTTCAATTATAGGCTGAATAGACATTTAAATACAGATGTAATTGGTTGCCAAACAGCATTAGTATAAAGATATAACATAAATATTCCTATGAAGATCCACTCCGATTTCACTAACTGTAGATCTTCGATTCACTACTTGGTTTTTTCATCTTTCACCTGTAGATATACAAAGGCACTAATCTGTAACCAAAGCTGTGCCTCACTCTTTCAATATCAGCCATGCATGTGGTATTTTAACCTTCTTTGTTCAATATAACACATTTTGAATATGAACCATTTGTTAATGAAAGATCTTTACAAATCTAGCTTTTTAACATTTACTGAAATAAATGACAATGAATGTAAATTCTGTTAGGTTTGTCATACCACCTCTCTCTGGTTTATGGAGATTGCTCTAAAACAGAAAGCTTATTCAGTGAGGTGTAGATGTTAAGATGACTTGTGTTGTCCAATTTGACCAGTTTGATTGTGAATATATATTAACTAATCAGAGGTTATTGTTAATTTATCAGTTGTTTTAATCAAGTGCAACCAATCTCATAAATTGAGGTCAAATTATTATAACTGACAATTTGCCTCTTTAACAGGTGTTATTAATGTTCTTACCTTTTTTGTGGCCGCAAGTTGAGGACCATGCTAAGCACCAGTTTTCATACTTTGAAAGTGTTGATAAATTGCACATATTCATCAGCATTGAACAATAGAAGTTTGTTTGGATTAATGAGTCTTAATTTTAGGTGCAGGATTCAGATGGTGAGGTCAGGAATGTCAGTATGCAGCTATAGTTTAGTTGTTCCTTGTATGAAAGTTAAATGATTCTGTAAATTAAAGATCACAAATCTAACATGAAGAAAGTCAAAATGCAATGAAAGTCAAATATATTTCAACCAAATGTGTGTATGTAGTAAAGTGATTACTAGCTGTATATAGTGAATTATTTTAGGTGGGGAAAAAAATAGCTTTAGATTTTCTAATAAACAAAATAACACACCTTTTCATTCAATTCTCCTGGATAATTTTCAACATTTCGAACCCAACACTACAATGTAAAGTAATCTTGGTTTTAAGCATAGGCTGGTTGCAATATCATTTTATGCAAATCAGTATTTGCTTCAAATTGAATAAATAAATATATGTATATATATATATATATATATATATATATATATATATATATATATATATATATATATATATATATATATATATATATATATATATATATATATATATTTTTTTTTTTTTTTTTTTTTTTTTTTTTAAATGCTGCCTATATGACAAAAAGGTTCTGCTGTTTAACTGCTACATACATTGTTTCCAATTACTGAGTAAAACACAGCAGACATTATTTCATTTTTAAAATGTGTTACAAAGTTTTATAGTTTAAGGCATGTAGATGAAAACGGGTGTTTTGGGCCTGTGGAGCTGCATGCCCAAAGTGTAAGAAGGTGCTTACTAGCTAGTTGGCAGCACCAGGGGACAAGATGACATAGGTTTTCTTGATAAATTAGAACACCAAGATGCATTCAAGCGTGAACGCACTGAGACCAGAAAAGGAACAGATGATATGGGTGTGAATGTCAAGTAGATTCAGTGAGTCCTTGGAAATCGAAGGTAGAGTGGAATATCTAAAGATAAAAAGTTATGATGAAAAAACCTTAGTGAGCTTCAGGAAATATAGCCCTAATCAAAATAATTAATTGAAATATGGTTAGCGCATAACATTTATTTTCAAAGTAGCTTTAATGCTTACATGAGGCACATTTCTCTTTGAATTTGCATCTTGTTTCATTCAAGTTGTTTAGACAGCATCAAAGTTTAAAATTATTTATTTAAGGGACTGGTAATTTAGTGGAACAATCATCTAACTAAATCTATTTTTTATTTTTTTTTACCCAACTATACAGTTGAATCACCTTAAATTTATTTGTATTTGCTACATAAACTCTTGTGCCATGCTTTATATTTTTGTTTGAAGAAGCTGTCTTCTCACATTTACTGCGGAGGAAAGTAGTAAACATAAAATGAACAAAGGAAAGAGAGAATAAGGTTGAAGAAGAGATGAAAGAGGATAAACAGCGAGGGCCTTCCTTTTCTGCACATAATAAGGTCTAATAAGGTCATTTATAAGTTCAGGCAGAGGCTGAACAAAACCTTGACATTTACCAAAGGGGACAATGTTATGCCACCATTCTTTGTCAAAGCACCACCAAGGCGACAATGTCATTTTTATTCATTTATCCTAATTAGAATTTATAAATAAAAAAAGATGACATGTGCATGGGTTGTATTTGGTTAATTCTGAGTTATTTCCATTTATTTGTTGGATTTTATTCTTATGTATTCGTGCTTATTTATGGTGTATGCGTTTATCTGATCTTGTAATTTACTTTTAGTTTTATACTTTGTTTTTGCGAATGATCTAAAAACACAGTTTAAGGTTGTAAATATAATGGCTTGTTTCTATCTTGTATATGTGCCTGGGAATCATCCTTGTAAAGGAGATTTAAAATCTCACAATTTTTTTTTTTATTGGTAAATAAAATAATAAATAAATAAAAAGAAAGAAACAAAGTGAAGTTAAATTAGCCCGATTTGAACCACAGTAATTAAGCTTCATCATGTTTCTTCTCCCTTATAACAATATTTTTTTTTTTTTACCCAGGCCCTGGGTGATTTTTTATTTATTTTTTTCTCTGCTTTAGATGATTCAGATGATTGCTGTTCATCAAAGCCTTTGGATCAGCAGTCAGTTGAACTCAGAACGTTTAAAATGCAAAACATCTCAAACATGCAGAATAATGTGCTTTACCATAAAGTTTACCATACAGTGCTGGAGAAAAGGACAAACATATTATAGGGTAAAACCTGGCAGGGAATAAATTCATATCACCTCCACTCAAAATTAGCCCAAAGCAAAGACTGTTGCATATACATGTACCGGTATATATAAATTGATACTAAGCTGGACTATTTGTAGTATTTAAACAGAACCAGATGCCAATTGTCTCTCCATGCTTCTCAGCCTAAGCAGACATTACCTTTGAAATGAAGTGAGAGTTTGGTTCTTTGTTTAATTACAATAATTATGCAAAGGGAAACACAATTAGCTAACAGCCCTGCACTTTGTCGTGATTCTATCTACCATTTCCCATCTTAAGCTAAGTACCTCCATCTGGTACTTCAATGCTCTCTTAGCTCTTATTCTTTAACTTTATATAAAGTGATTCTGGGCAATCTAAAACAAATCTTATAAACATAAAAGAGTCTTTTTTTTTTATGCACATTGACATTGCAGTGCCCCTGATGAACCAAGTTTAGGAAATGAAAACAAATTTTTCTTTTATGTTTTTATTAATGATTAATTTTGTCAACATATATTTTGACGAGTGATAGCTACAAGTTTTACTCTTCCTTGCCAAAAAGAGGTGCACTTGTGCTCCCCCACTTCGTTCTGTACTCTTGGCCCACCAGTTGCCAGGTCTGCAAACCAAACAAAACATTTGACTTACCCGCTCAGAAAGCAAGCAGCAACTTCTAGGTGCGTTCTGAGCCCTCTTATTCCTAGTCGTCACCAGACTCAAAAGCTTGGCTGATATTAACCTTCATTTTGCTTCTTTTTGTTTTACTTTCTTTTTGCTTCAATCAGGGAAATTTAAAGCTACAGTGTGTAATTTTCAGCGACATCTAGCGGTCAGACTACAGACCGCAGCAACATGAACATCTCCCCCCCACCGCTTCTCCCCCCCAACAGTACGGCGAGCGTTACGGGACAAAATTTCTTCTACGACGTCCACATCACCTACCCTCTCAAGTGATGAGGTTTGTTTACATAGATAATTTTACAGATAGTATTTCATTAGTCTGTGTAGGGTATAGATTTCATGTAGACTTAAGATAATAAATATACCCGTTATTTTTTCTACATCGTTGTGACGTCTTGGTGAGCTGCTTTGCATGGTGATATAAACAGACGAAGTAATTGTAGCCATTAGTTTAACAGCGAGATTGTGTTCGCTGGAAGAATATATATCCCCCGTTTACAGAGTCCAAGTCATTTTGGTGGCACGGGGGTTACAACGCGAGGGAGAGGGAGAGGACGAGGGCGAAGGCAGGGAGGCCGTGCAGCTAGGGCCAGGCGAGAGAGGGGAGCCAGCGGGGTGAGAGCAGAGGAGGAAAGGCTTGAAGATCTCCAAAGGAGCCGGAGAGAAGTAACCGAGGTATATATCCAGAAAATTATTTTACAGAAAATTACTGAATCATTACCTGTGAAACGTCAGGGACGTTGCTGAATAAGTATACTGGAGAGTAACAGCATCATCACGCAGCATGTTATTGTTTTAGACAGGTCTGAGCATCCTGTACTCCAAAAACTGCAGTGA